CACAGTAGCGAGTCGACGGCGAAACCCCACAATTATTGATTTTCTGCCCGTTAAAATTTTGGCTGTTTTGTGCACACGCCAGAACTAGCCCCCTATTTGTTGCTGCTTTCCCTACTCTGACGATGGGCTCCTGCAGGAGCCCCATTTGTTGCTGTTTTCCCTACTCTGACGATGGGCTCCTGCAGGAGCCCGAAAGCTCAGGCTAATAAAGTGATTGTTCCAGTGTTCGAAAATTCCTCGTCTTCGAAATATTCACCTTCCTGGGATGCGAACATTCGCCTCAATTCGTGAATTAATAAAGTCGTATTGAAATTTTTGTCTAAATGAACTCACTACATATGTATGCAGGTGATTCTAGAGCATTTAATGTCGTTTCTAAGCAGCACAGCAAGTTTTTATTTGTAAATTTAGAAAGAAGAAAGCACATATCGTTTTTTGGTCACTTAAAACTGCCTTTTGAATACGCTAATCTTCCACTATACAGGGTGTCCCAAAAAATGTATACACATTTTACCTATTTGTAAAATTGGTGCTTATCATAATTTTATCATTAAATAAATGTAAATATATTAACAAGTACCATTTTATTGTTTTTATCACTTAATGTTCTCAAACTGACGTCCATTTTGATCATGACAGTGCTGACAACGCGAAACAATGGAATCGCACATACCATACAACAATTCCCTCGGTATTCAGGTTCATTCATGTTCGGTGCTTCTCTCAATTCAGCCATTGTTGCAGTAGTTTAAATGCAATGAAAAAACAATAAAATGATACTTTTTAATATTTTAGCGTTTTTGAAATAACGAAATTATAATAAACACCAAGTTTACAATTACTTAAAATGTGTATACATTTTTTTGGGACACCCTGTAGATTCCAAATAAATTATTCAGCGTTGGGTCGATTTGGGATTTTCATGAGAGAATTATTTCCATGTGAAACTCCTCACGGGCATGTATTTTAGTGATTTGTTGCTAGGGCATGCTAACGAGTGACCACTTACTATATAGCAAGGCGATTAATGCGACAGTACCAGAAGTGAAAGACGACTAGAGGGAAACCAAAACGCTAGACTCATTCACGCCTTACATCCCACCAACACTTGCGACCAGCCGCATGCTTCAGCGCGTGATTTATACGATGATGGCTTGGCAGTACGCGTCAGAGTCGGTAACTGTCACGATTTCATCATCCGTATTAGATGTTGGCGTGATAATTACGCGGCGATTTGGCTCACTGTCATCAAAAGTCAGACTCAGGCAAAATCTCCGTATAGGATGTGGTAAGGGTAAGTCTTTGCGCTTCTTGATTGACTATGTGCCTAAGAACCATGACTCGAGTAGTTCGCGGCTCACGCGGTTGTCACCTGTTGTGAAGATTTCGGTCTCGTTAAATTTGGAAATATAGCCGGGTCCTGTCACGACAACAATTTTGATGATAGCGCGTCAACTTTTTACGTGAGCGTCTAACAGGGATGATGAGATTGCAGCAATTAACGACTCGGACGCGGACTGTCAAGCCACCGTCACATCAATCATGACCCAAGCGGTGGTCCTGAGAACTGCCATTGTAGTACACATGTGGTCACGGGGCCAGCGCGGACTATAAATACTGCTCACCCTGTGCCTCTATCAGTATCTTCTGCAATGATATCTGGTGATGAGTTCGAACAGGAATCCGAAACGTTGGACCAATAAACTTCTTATGCCAGCTATCGCATCTTTTCCTTGTGAACTGTTTCCCGGAGCTCGCCTGTACGCCTCTATCGGCAAACGTTTAACAAGTGAGGTCATACTGATTTGGGAATAGTTATTAGAATTACGGTTCCGCCATTGCCTTCCTATCGTTTCTTCTTTATCAGTGGTATATTAGTCTTTTTCTGAATATGAGCCGACCGATTTAGCCTTTCAAGGGAGTCAATTAGTCGCAGAGGTTATTTGGACGTTTGACTGGTCAGGAATAGGCGACAATTATCTGTCTTCACAACCTCCCCGTCTTTGTCCATTTATCATATATATAATCATTTGTTTAGTCGTTTTTTCTTCCTCTCTATCACCAGATAACTCAGTAATTTATGTCGAACCTTCAGGCAGATAATTGTGCACCCTTTATTGGCATGCTAAAAATCTCCTAGCAGAGTGATGTGAGTTACTTGAAAAAGTGCATCGGCTTCCTCCAAGTATTACCTGTTACAGTCATAATTTGCACATTTCATTGTAGGTGACACAGCAACCGAACCGAACTCGAGCCGCAGGAGTGACGCTGAAGCAAACGTATCTAAGTTGGAGCACTTGGCTCTTCAGCGGGAACTGGAGTTTGCTCGAGGTGCAATCAAGGCCTTGCAAAGGCAGTTGGAGGAGCAGACCAAGAACTCTCGTGATGAGATAGATTCACTGGTTGAAAATCAACAAAGCCTACTCCGGGAAAGGGAAGACCAGATGACCAAGTTTAAGGAAAAGGAAATCACTTTGGAGAACCGGTGAGTGTACGAATGCAAAGTCTACTGTTCGAGCACATAAAGACTGGCCATTGAGTGGCAGTATCGGCCTTTTCAGACCTGGACTTTAAACATGGCAGTAGTATCCTCTATTATTGTCGGAGAACTTGCGTTTTCCCTTTTAATTTCTGTTTTCTGATACACTTCCATTTTCGCCAACTTCTGATTCCCGGTTTTCCTCCTTTCTTTCATTTACAGGCTGAAACAATGTCAAGAAATGATCTGTAGTAACACCAAAGAATTCCT